CTGCTGCTGCTGCCTCGCGCTGTCCGTTGCTTCCTTGCAGTTTGTGACCAGCTGCTCCAGGCCCCCGCTGCTGGGCTTCGCCTACCTCAAGCCGCCGTTCTCCATCCGCTGCGTGGAGGTCTCCGACGATCAGGTAGGCAGCCGGCCGGCTCCTGCCCCCGGCCCGTCCGGATGGGCTTTGGCTCCCTTCCCTGCTCGTCTCCCTGCTTGTGGGAGCTTTAAGGCACAGGGAGGTGTGTGCTATGGGACAAGGTGGCCCCGTATCTGCCCTGTGAGGAGAGGCTGAGGGAGCTGGGCCTATTCAGCTGGAGAAGAGAAGGCTGAGAAGGGACCTGAGCAGTGTCTAGAAGTACCTCAAGGGAGGCAGGGAGGAGGATGGGGCTGGCCTCTTTTCACTGGTGGCCACGGACAGAACTAGAGGAAACGGCCCCAAACTGAAGCACCAAAAGTTCCACAGGAACTTAAGGAAGAATTTCTTAACAGTGAGGGTGCCAGAGCACTAGAACAGGCTGCCCAGAGAGGTTGTGGAGTCTCCTTCTCTGGAGATCTTCAAACCCGCTTGGACGCAGTCCTGTGCCACGTGCTCTAGGTGACCCTGCGTGTGCAGGGGGTTGGACTAGATGACCTTGAGAGGTCCCTTCCAACCTTCAGCATTCTTTGATTCCATGAAGTTGAACCCCTCCTTGCACACGTGGCTGCATCCCCTTCCTCCCACACAGCCCCTCTCCAGGTCGTGTTTTCTCCTTAGCCTCCCTGTGTCCTGCACCTCTGATCCCGTTTCCCTGTGTCCTCCACAAACGGACCCTGCACAAAGGCCCTTTCTAGCAGTCTTGGGGAAGAGGGGTCTTGGGTTGGACCCTTCCCAGCCCCTTTGCCCTGCGCACAGGGAAGAGGAGCTGGGCTCCCCGCTCAGAAGAGCGCAGGAGTGCAGGAGCGCTGCCTTTCTGCCCTCGCAGGACACGGGCGACACGCTGGGCAGCGTGTTACGGGGCTTCTTCACCATCCGCAAGAAGGAGCCGGGCGGGCGTCTGCCAACCTCCTCCACGTGCTTCAACCTCCTCAAGCTTCCCAACTACAGCAAGAAGAGCATCCTGCGGGAGAAGCTGCGCTACGCCATCAGCATGAACACGGGTTTCGAGCTGTCGTAGCCGCCGCGGGCGGGCGCTCCACGCGCGGAGCTTGGACCGGATCTGCGGGACCCCGCTGCTCCCTCCGGGCCCGAAGAGCTGCAGCTGGTGCTAGAGGTTTACGGGCAGGAGCTTCGGGGCCCTGCGTGGGCACTGCTCCAGGACGGAGGTGATGAGCCTGCCCCCATACACGTCCCTTGTCAACCGTGTAAATCATCTTTAGAAGCAAACCCCAGGGAAGCATAAAAGGACCAGTAAAAGTGCCAGGCAGATTAGTGGCCATAACAGCCCAGCAGGCTGCGCGGGCTGGGCAGCTGCTGCCGGCCAAGGGATTCCTTTCCCTGCCCCGGGAGCTGGCCTGGGTTTTCCGTGGGTGGAAGCCGGTCTGTGGAGAGGCTTTTGGAGGGGGAAACGTGACTGAGCCCCAAGGGGAGGCCGGGCCGGCCCCGTGCGCCCTGCTTGGGGGTGAGGGCCGCGCGGGGCCCTCGCGCTGCTCTCGAGGACGAGCCGCTTGCCAGGCCGCGGAGCAGCGCGTCGGTGCCCGCCCTGCAAGGGGGATGTTGGGCTGCCCGGAGCCTCCACAGGGCTCTCACGTGCTCAGAGCTTCATTTCAGCCCTGCTCCCCCTCTCCTTGGGCTGCCGGGCTGCTCCAAGCCCGGGCTTGGCCTCTGTTGGCTCTGCTGTCAAGCTGTTTATTTCAATTGCTTCGTCCCTCTCTGGCCTTATTTTAGCAGGTGCCGTTTGCCTGCACCAGGCAGGTTTTCCGGGTGGCTCTGGAGGCTGCGTGTGTGTGAGCACAAGGGTGTCCCTCGTCCCCAGGGGAAGGCAGGACCGTCCCTAGTGAAGCACAGAGCCTGGTTCTTGCAGCGCGTCCCTCGGGTCGCTGCAGTCCTGCCATGGCCTGGGACCATCCCCTGGGCTCCGGGAGAGCTGGTGGCACAAGGTGGCCATGGAAGTTCCCCCGTGGGGACAGGAGGAAGAGCCAGACACCTTCTTCCCAGCCTGCGCCCACTCCCTACAGGAATAAGCACAGGGGAGGCTGCGGCTCCCGGCCCCCCCCCGGAGCCTGCCACAGCCCCTCCCTGGGGCTCTGCCTGCAGGGCAGGGCCGGAGCTGCTCCCACCTCGCCCGAGAGCCCCTCTGTGCTGCGCGTTCCGAGCAGACCAGAAGGTCCTTGGCACCGTTTGCCCACGAGTACAGAAATGCCCTTTGTTTCTTCTTTCTCTGTTCTGTCAAAAAAATAACCTTTTGGAAGCGATTGTAGGAAACGCATGTGGAAAACCACGTTGCCCGGGACCTTTTTCCTGGGCAAACCCTCTTGGAGGGGAGCGGGCGAGGGCAGCTGCGAGCTCCAGCCGCTGGACAGAGCGAGTCTGGAGGAGTGGAGGAGTTAGATTTAGTTTAGTTTTGTTGTGTCGAGAGGATTGTGGTGTTCACCAGCTGTCGGGTATGGAGCGGAGAGCCTTTTGCACTGACTTGTATCCATGTTGCACAGAATCCCTTTTTCCTGCTAGGACAGCGCCGTGCCCAAGCAGAGCACGAGGAGACAGTTCGTTCAAGGTGGTCAAGGGAAACCTTTGCTCTCCCGCCCGGCCCTGCTCCTCCCTGCAGGAGCTCAAGGCCCTGCCGCGTCCCGGCTGGAGCCGGTGCCCGAGTTGTGGCGGGGACGATGCCCAGAGCAGCCCCGCTCTGGGTGCCCCTTCTCGGGTGCGGAGGCTGCGGCAAGGCGGGCGCCAGGGCAGGTTTTACCGCAGGAGATTAATGACTATTTTTTCTATAGTAGATTTGCTGCTGTGGAGACCTTGGTACATCCCTTGTAGCAGAAAACGCAGGGAAGAGAAAATAAAGCTGGCCTGAGTGAGACAAGGGGCGTCGTGTCTTGCTGGGGGCCCGACCCGGGCGCTGCTGGATGGTTCCCGCTTGGGACCGCGGAGCCCTCGGGCTGGCGCGGGGGGACCGGGCGCTCCGGTGCGGCCGCGCTCCGCTGCCGGTGTGACACGGAGCCGTATGGCACCGTTGGAAATGGCAAGCAGAAGCCCCGCGGCAGATGCCACCACGGCAGAAAGGTGGCACGGAACGGCCGGGCCCCCAACCTGCCCGCGTCTCCCTCGCCGCTCGCGGGGCCACCGCGACCCCGCGCGGGGGGCTGCAAACCCAGGGGCTACCCGAGCAGGGACTGGGGGCAACCAAGCCCGTCCTGCCCTCTGGAAACCCGTGTCCCGGCTGGAGCAAGTCCTGCACCGACAGCATTGGGAGACTCCGTGCAGCCTCCGTGTCACCCAGAGCCGCTCCCGGCCCTTCCCGCTCCCCGGGAAGGCCGTGGAAGACCCGTGTCCTGGGCGGAACGCGGCAGCGGAGCAGCAGCCGGCGGCAGTAACCCGAGCGCCTGAGTTATAGCGAAACTCATCTCCTCCTGCAGCTCCAGCAGCGCGAACAGATGTACGGGCGTCTGATCCAATCATGCAGCAAGAGATTTTGGGGCCAGTTCTTCCAGTTTTGACAGTGTGTAAGCTAGGAACAGCCATACATTTTACAAACAAGAATAAACGACCCTCAGCAACATATGTCTGTGCTGGCAGCTACAGTGTAATCCGGAATCAGGAACCCTGCCGGGTAGGGATGGATCTGGGCTCCATGTACGGGCTGTGCGGATGCAGCAGCTGCCTCCTGCCCCTGTTAATGAGGTGCAGGCGCCCGGTTGCAGCCTGCACAGGGGGGCTTCGTTATTTTAAAGGCTCTGCTTAATTTAAGCCACCCTTGAGTCAGGGGCTGCTGACCTGAGGAGCGGTTGAGCTGCCTCTTCCTTACAGGACTTGGTCATCTGTGTGCACTCCTGATCCGAGAGCAGCCTGGAACCTGCAGGAGCGGAGGGATAGGGCTGGGAGCTGCAAGAACCCCAAGAAATTTCATCTCTGTCACATTAAAATATAGGGGATAAACTTATCTCTCCTTGCAGCCACAACGATACTAGCTTTGGTCCCAGAACAGCAGTGAGATTCCCAATTAAACTTGAAAGGCCTACAGATTGTTCAGGTGAGTGAAACAGAGGCAGCGCGAGGCCAGAGGGCCCGGCTGGGGCTGGCACCGAGGCGGTGCCTGATGTGACATTGCGGCTCCCGGAGCAGCAGCATTTGTCATTGGGATGTGTTACAGGCTAAGGCTCGGAAAATTACTCTGTGAAAAATGTGCATTAACAATAGCCATGAAATACGTTTAAAAAAAAAATAAGGGTGAATAATGAGACAGCAGCATCGATTAGTGCTGGGCATTCTTCACACTGACCCTGCTCTGATTAAAAAGTTAACGCAAAAGCCAGAGCCAGTTTCCGGGAGCAGCTTTAAGGTTGTTCCTACGTGAATAATTGGAGAGAGGAGGCTGCATGACTGGGAAGCTCCCACCCGAGAACCGCGCTTGGTGCGGACACGCTCCGTGCGTGGAGCTTTCTCCAAGCAGCGCCCTTACAGCCAGTGGAATCTGTAACATTCCTTCCTCCAAGGGCAAGAGCCTTAAACCAACGCACCTCACGGCTCTTCTTCCAAATTATGTTTCCAAGCTGTAGGAGTCTTGGACTTAACAGTACAAACTGTAATTCTTTGGCTCTTCTGAATGGGTTTCGAGGAGTTAGCTCATTAGACCTGGTGTAAGCACTGATTTACATATCCAAGATGTTTTTCTAGCAGTCTTCAATCCATCAGGCAGCTGGAAAAACTCCTAGCAGAGCTATTCTAATGATTCCCAAGTTTTAGTTAGCTTGCTCTGTCAAATTACTCAGCTCTGCCTTGGGTTTCTCGTTAGGGGCTCAGGTTGCAGAGCTTGTGCAATGTAGATTGATACACTTGAAGTTCCAGCATTAAAACAGCAAGTGAAGGAATGTTTAAAGAAAAAGGCAGCAAAACCTACAGTTTTTCAGCAAGATGAAGCATTTGGTTGACTTAGGTGAGTGCTGGTGCACAGGGTGTTTTTTTCTGTTCAAGATGCACTCTGTGCTGTCTGCAGCCACAGCTCCAGCCTCTCCACTCTAGTGAGGGCTCCAAGGGATGCAGAGAAACCGTCGGGATTACCCCCAATTTTTGTGAGATCTGCAGAAAAAGGGGATGCTGCAACCACACTGTGCTCTGCGCAGGGAGAGCAGGGCCATACGGAGTTAACTCCTGCTGCCCACACGGATCTTGCTCGCACGGGAACTGTAGGATTTAGCCCCTCTTCCTTTAATCCCCCTTTCCTGCGCGAGCCCCATTCCTGGCAGAGGGGATGCTGAGAAATTCTTCACACGCATGAAAGAGGCAGCCAGTGCCAGCGAGCACATTCCTGTAAATCTACAAAGCTCTTCGAGCTCCAGTCAGGGCTGATGGATGGAAAGCAACTTAACAAAAGAAAAGCAAGCTGGGCTCAGCATTAAAGTATGACAGTTAAGGGCCCTTTGGTACAAGTAAATCACATTTATTATTTCAGAGCTGGTGGGCAGAATTCCTGAATCTCTGTTCTGCATGGGCATTACAACTTAAAGAGAAGCTGATTAGTTTCTCTTCTGCATTCCTCAGAGTGCTGTCAGGGCCCTTCCATAGCACTTGCCACTGCCCAGAGAAATTAAAAAAATCTCTAGAAATCAGCTGTGATTACCTGAAGTTCCAGTTTGGGGCAAACACTAATTCTGAAGTCAGCCCACCATACAAGTGCTACCTGGGCAAGGCCTCGTGGGCAGCTGTGTTCCTTACAGCACTTGTGAACCAGGTCTTGGTTATGTAAATGGGAAGTTTTTGGCCAGTTCACAGACCCAGTCCAGGCTCATTCTCTTCCCTTTCTTACCTGGGAAAAGGCACTCTATTGGACTTAGCTTTTTGTGATTTTGAAAGCAATAACCCAAGTCCCACTTATGCTTCAGACTTTATGTATATTTTCTCTTCCTTCCCTTCTTTCATTGCAGCATAACGTGCCAAAACGAAGAGGTAGTCGCTTAGTCTGGAAACAAGAGAAAAGCAGGGAGAACATTTCTCCTGTCAGCTGCGTTTGTATCCAGCAACAAGCAACAAAGCACATGTGATTATAGCACTAGGAACTGCAGGGCCAACCAGGCAGAGAGACCCTGTGAACCAGTGGTTCTGAAGGCAGCCTTCAACAGGAAAGCTCCTCAGCACCTCTCTGCAGGCTGTGCACAAATGCTTTATAACAAGCCATTTATTCAAACTTTAAAAACTAGAAAGGAAGCTTCTTGAGAGGTAAGACCCTGCAGTTCTTTGCCAAGATCAGAGAAACAACACCCAGCTCCACAGACAAACAAGGGTTTAGAGGGGGAGTGTTTTTTTGTTTTTACCTGTTTAAATATTTGGCCACATTTGGATCTGCTTCCCCTGCTTGCACTAACGGTACCACACTGGAACAAGAAGAGAAAGCTGTGAGTGTATTTAGCTTGCTCTCAATGCACAGATTAATGCAGTTTGCTGGAGCACTCGTGCACCAGCCTCACCCAGGCATCACATAACAAAACTACCCCTTGCAGCTCTTCAGGGCTGCAGTCCCACCTGCTACAGAACACTCAGGAACGGGTATCACTGAGCAATGGAGCAGCCTGGAGGTGACTAACACCCTGCAGAATCGTGATCCTTTCCTGCAAGTAAACGCTGAGCCTTCTTGGAGCCGTTCCTTGCCTTTATTCAAGCCTCCTTTTGACAAGGAAACCCTCATTCTGATGATTTTTTTCCAAGACGACATTGTTCCAGTACACTGTTCAGCAGTTTAAGGTGCTGTTGTTGACCACAGCCACCCTCGCAGCAGGGCACATCCCTGGAAACGTCCCCTGCCTGTCAGCAGCTCTGGTGAGGACCCCCAGCTCCTCGGGCAGAACTGCCCCTTAGCAGGTCCAAGGTGCCACAAGGCATTTTGCATGGAAGTGACTTATGTGACAAGCAGGCTTTCCTTCTGCAGACTTTCCTGGGGGAGCTTTCCAGGAGAGGTTCAGGACAGGTAACACCTTTAGGCAGGCAGTAACACGTTAGGCTGCTACAGAATTCCTGCCAGTGCCCCAGCTGGCCTAGGAAACACCTGGAACACACATGGCACTAGAAGGAGGAATCAACAGCCCTGGTGCTTCTGGAGCCCTAGCTGGGATGAGCTGATCTGGGAGAGGGAGCCCAGTGCAAACACCAAACCTGACTCAAGTTCTAGCCAAGCGCAGACCGTTTGAGGCCACCTGACTGCAATGCTACATGGTTTGCAGTTGCTGCAATCTGATCACCTTTCACGCATTTTATTCGGTGACATTAACAGCCCAGCACTCACCACCTCTCAGCTCTGCGGCAGACAGCTCGGGAAACGTGGAGAGCGGCGCTGCTTTTACCTCCCGACTGAAACAACAATTAAACGGAGTGTTAATGCTGCTGATGCCAGATAGCCACCCACCTCGCCCTCAAATGCAGCACAGTTTATTGCATCTCACACACACAGCTGAGCCTTACGTTCCAGCTAGCAGTTGTCAAGAGGTGTCTAAATGCAACAGTTTGTGCAGAGTTGGCTCAATCTGACCCTTCTCTCTGCTTTCCTTTAGGTCAACGCATGGACCAAGTGCCATACAAACTGCTTTGTATTTTTCCTCCAATGGCAGACAAAGCAGCAAGTGGCATAAGAAGCACCTACTGGCAGTATGAAAGCTCTGAGCGGGGGAAGCTCTTCTGAGTATTTATCAATCCACTGTTCCAGCTCCAGAACAGGCTTCTCACTAAAAGACGTTCGCTCTACAGAGGGGAAAGAAGAATCAACTAAAAAAAGAAACCAGAAGTGATTTGGTCTGTAGAAGATGAAATTTGATACTCCTTGGATCAGTAAGTCCCAAGAAAAGCAAGTCCCCATCCTCCACATCCCTGCTGCTGGAGGGGGCTGCTGCCCATTCCGCAGCTGGGGCTGTGGCCCCGGCTCTGGGACGGGGCCCGGGATGGCCCCATCTCACAGGTCACTTGAGCAGCTCTAGGACCCACGTGTGGCTTCCCCGCCCTGAGCCCCACACGCAGCAGGAACAGACTCCAGCAGCCAGCGCTCCTTCCAGAGCCGTTATCCCAGGAAAGGTCCTGCGGGGCTTACTGAGGTGGGCCTGCCTGGCCGAGGAGAGGGGCGTCGCGATGTTGGAGCCCGCGTCCTGCAGCATGCACTGCACCTGCATGTGGCAATTGGGGGAAAAAAAAAAGAAAAAAGCAGCTTTCATTATCCAGCCTTTGATGCTCCGGGAAAAGTGCAGCAAGCTCTGGGAGGCGACAGCTGGTTGTGCTGATTAAAGAAGATCCTACCCTTGTTGTTCATCATCCCCCAGTCTGCTGGCAGGAGGGATCAGATAAGTGCTCCCTAATTGCTTTATGAGAAGCCAGATTAGCACGCGTACTCATTTTCACTGGCACATTAAACTGCCCTGGCTGACGCTGCAGAGCGCGGAGGGGAGCAGCGCTCATCCCTCTGCGGGCAGAGCCGGAGCCTCCGAGGGAAGGGCAGCGACCAGGACACGGAGCCGGCTCCGTGGCTCCTCTGTTCCCATGAGGAGCATCTCTCCGTGGCCTTGGTTATTTGAGAGGCAGTTTGGAAAACCCTTCCAAAGCGTCCGATTAGCTACTTCCGAGTTGTTCTGTGCAACAAAGCTAATCTGCAGGAACTCTGGGCTGACGTGGTGGGAGATGCATCCTACCATTGAGCTCACGTTGTTGCCTCATTTTCCTTTCAGATTTGAGGCAAATGTGACAACAAGGCTCAACACGTGTCCATGAGCCCATGCAGCAACAGCTCTGACTTATCTCTTGGATATCTTGGAAACGTATCTCTCGGAGATATGTTTGTCTGCCCATAATCAATCTACTTGGTCGGCTGGATGGCTTCTCAGGTTAAGAAGATGGACTTTATTACCCATAGCATAACTAGGGGCAAGACCCTCAATATTTGTTACATATTCTACGTATTAGGGTCCTATGTCCAGGGGAGCATCATGTCCCCAAGCAAAGCTTGAGGAAGGAGCTCCAGCAGCGCAAATGGGGCTGCTGCGGCCGCGGCGCCGGGCGCTGACACTCACCCTGTGCAGCTGCTCCACGAACGCGTGGCCCTTCTCGCTGCTGAACTCCCTGGCGAGCCTGGAGCAGGGAGAGCCGGCTCAGGCGGGGCGGGAAGGCGGCCCCCTTCCCGTTTTTCCACGGAAACCCCCTTTCCCGCGGGCAGGGGCGGCTCCCGCGCCGCTCACCCGATGGCCGATCTCAGCTCGTCGGTG